GAATGAATTAATTCGTGGCAGCTAAGCCTAAACAAGAGAACGAATACGTGGCCATAATTTAGACTAAACGAAAAAATTTATTCTTAATTTGTGGCCATAATGTAGTCCTAGCATAAAAGAGAACTAGCCTATTCTAAATTTGTGGCCGTGATTTTGTCTGCATGTCATGATCGGGGCTCCGTACAACCAAATATAACTTTAGCCTACCCGTTTATTCATTTATTATGGTATGTAACTAGCTTTCTGGCAATGTGCCGCTTCAGATTCCAATATGAATCTTTACTAACTTTAACAGTCTCCACGCACTCCCTCCCAGTTTCTTCTCCCTGCTCATTCTTAACTTAGATTTTTACTTTACATTTATGTATAAGGCTTGCAACTTCGTTGAAACAATATCTGAACTCCATAACTGCTCTACTATTATCGATCGCTACAGATTCTCGATCTCGAACAAGCAAATCACCAAAGGGCATTCTGGGTTGAGCGAGCGGAGCGGAATCTTCAGAAAGGCGCTCTGCGCTAGTGCTGGGCAGTATGACCAAAAATGTATATCACGGTATTTTTCAAAATGATACCGGTTTTATGGTACATGACGGTATTTTTTTTCATGCATGACCGGGTGTTAACTAGGGGTCGACCGATTATCGGCCTGGCCGATATTAAGCATTTTTATGATTATCGGTAATTTTCAAAACCGATTCGCAGATAAAAATAATTAAATTTTGAAACGCGCTATTTGGCTCTGATGCAGCCTGTCAGAACTCACCACCACTCTGTGGCCGAAAGCAGTCTCCGCCTGCCGCTCATCTGATTTGTTGGGAGTCATGAGTCTGACCAATCAATGCATAATTCACTCTCACTCCGAAAGCGCTTGCTAACCGCTTGTTGCTAACTGGAGCTGCTTCAGTGATCACGCATCAGTTGTCTCTCAAAGGTAAGGCAGCAGCAGACCTTGCTTATGCTGCATTAGATCCCAATCCACTAACGTTACACTGAAGTTGCAAAACACCTCAATATTATCTATGATTTCCGCGATGCGGAGAACGCGGACGGAATCCAGTCATATAAATGGAATTTACTGTATGACGCGGAATGTCACGGAATTTGTCAAAGTTTGGATGAATTAATCAAAAGTAGGTCAGTACACTTAAATAGAGTCGCAATATGGACTAGTATCTGTAAATATTAAGCCGCAAAAATACTATTTAAATATGAATCCAGCATGTTCTGCGTGTCTCTGTATGTAAATGGCACAGACGTGTACGCGTTTTGTTTTCTACACAAAGTGTGCAACGCTCGCGGTGATTTCAGCTTCTGTCATATCACTACATGAGGACATAAATACATGAACAACATGTATTTAATAACTCCAGAACTGCTCTGACTCCCCACTTCATGAGCATTTGACAGTTTCATTGGAGTAAAGCTATCTTCATATCATTTACATAGACCTACAGCCGCTCGCATCATTCACAGTCGGGTTATTAGCAGAGAACACAGAGCAGGTCTTGAATTTCAGGCGCAGGATTAGTATTAATAATTATGAATAACTATTAATAATAATTCTACTCATTCCCGCAGGTTCCTCGTTTATAACGCGATGACAGATGACAGAACTTATCATTTGCACGCGCTTTTGAGTCTTGAGAACTCTCATTTTCAGTGCGCCCACAGATCGCGATAAGGAGAGTGACAGATTTGAATAATTATTCAAGGAGTTTGCAAATGTGATATTGATTTAATACAACAATTCAATAAACACGTTCTGCCTGATTTTGCTCTATTTCATCAACGAAAATAGTTCCAAATAAAGTAACAGCTCAGCCGCTTCACATCTCTAAAAGCACAGCGGTGTTTCATTCATGAATAAAAGAATCTTCGTTTTTGAACGAATCTAGTAAGTCAGTGATTCATGATTACCCATTCATAAAGACAGTCACTTGCTTCATTCCTGAATGAATGAGCCGTTCAAATGAATCAATTGAATGAATGATTCAGTGATAATATCTGTGATTTGCCACCCCTTGCTGGCGGTTTCAGTTTCATTTTTAGGTATAATTGCAGTTATTTAAATTTTATATTTCTGTATTCAAAATTGTATTTAAAACATGAATCTCCACATGAATTTATGAATTTAATTGCACTCATGCCACCTCTGAGCCTCATTGAATGTCTGAAAATGTACCTACAAGCCACTTTTGTGTTCTTCTGTGCCACCTCTGTAGTAGAAATACATTTTTCATTAATACTAATTTCATGATTGGTAACTTATTTGTCTTATTCTACTTATTATATAGTTTTAAATAGAAATTTTTAAAAGCTTATAAACAATTTTTTTAATTTTACAGATGAAAATGATGCCATTGCAAAGATAAAAAGAAAATGCCCCTGTTAATCACTTCACCTAATATTTGATCAGAATTTGAGATTATTGATGAGAAGGTGCTCCTTAATTTATTTAAATTAGGAGGCCAAGCGCTCTTGATTACAAGAAGAAAAACACTGCTCTTAAACTGGGTGTGTGACAGGTATGGCTGAGGAATGGGGTTTGGCT